TATTTAATTGAGAGACAAGATACTGTATATGAGATATAGGTTGTCTCTTGTACAAACTTTTTCTTGTTCTTTTCTAATGTGTCAAAAGGGCAATTACCGAATGCTGGTCCCCGCTATATATATCCTGTGTCTTGGGACTTCTTGGCCTAGTTGGGAGGGGTGGATTGCATATTAACCTAATCTTCCACCGTTGCTTTTCTGCACTTCATTTGCTCTAAAGTTTGGTATATTAAAGTGTAATAATTACACTAAGAAGTATATTGGTATTGGTGAACTTTTCTTTTTGAATGCATAGAATGTTGTTCTGAATTTTAAAAATGATCAAATATCTATTTTGACCCCATATATGAAAGTTTTTTATTGTTTATTTTGAGGGTATCATTGGAAAATAAAAAGTTGTATTATTGCACTTTAAGAGATAAGAGATAAGAGGAAACAAACAAACATTTAAGCTTGAACTCACTTTCTCACACTTTCTCACTGCTTCGGATTTTATCATTGCACTAAGCAAAGGTACCCCTTCTGTGTTAAGTAGGGGTGGATTCGAGCTGAGCCGAATATTTGGGTATTCGAGCTCGACTCGCAAGAATAGTATCAGGCTTGAGCTCGAGCTCGACTATAAGCCAAGTTTTTTTTTTTTAAAATAAAAATTGTATGTATAAAATATTTTCTTTTATTTTTTAGACAAAAAAATAAGAATTATAAAAATTATTTACTATTACACATGAAAAATAAAAATATTATGTATGTATATAATAAAAATTATTTATTTAATACTAGGCTTGCGAGCCCACGAAATGAGTTTCATTGGATTCGGGCTCGGCTCGATTAACAAATGAGTCTATATATCGGGCTCAAATTCGACTCAAAACTTGATTTAAACTGAGCCAAACCGAATTTTTTATGAGCCGAGTTCGAATAATTTGTGAAAGGCTAGACTCGTGGCCACCCCTAGTGTTAAGGTATAAATGAATTTTTTGGAAGCTGACTAAAATATTCATGCTCACAATATTCCTAAAAGTACTTTTTCTCTTAACTTTCTGTCTATTATTTTCTACCGAACCAAATATAAGTTTATTGAAACAACTTGAGGGATTCTTTTTTTTAAGAAACATAAGACCATACAATACAGACATTTAGCCATATTCTTCAACCAAGGAGGACCAAAAGCTGCACATCCAAACCAACTTTCCTGTTTGGAACAGTGGTGGATACCATGAGCCACACGATTAGCAGTCCTGCTAATCCAAACAAAAGATATATTATTAAATCGAAATTGTTGAGAGAAGCTTCTCCATGAACTTTGTTGGGCAGGCCAGAGAGAAGATTGAATCCGATTCAAGAATCATATCTTGAATTCCATAACTAACTGCTTTCACGAAACCCCTTGCATAGCCAATGCTTCCAAAGAGAGAACAGATGAAGCCGATACCTTTGCACCCTGTGCCGAGATCATTCCTCCTGAGGAACATCTAATTATAAAAGTATAAAACCAATAGCAGTACTTATCTGATTTCGCAAAGCAGCAGCAGAATTTAATTTCATACATCCTTGGGGAGGAAAAACCTAAAACCCTCCACCCTTGTAGAGAGTTGTTCCAATCTCCGTCTCTGAGCAGAGGTAACAATCTTCATGGATGGGGTCTGAACACCATGATAAGTTAACCCATTTCATCCTGCCTTAATTGATCTTTCCACCTAATAAAGGAGCCACTCATTGAACCATGAAAAAGACTAATTACCCATAATTATTCCAAGCTCAAACCAAATAGCTCGCACTAATTAATCAAAGCACTCACCTTAGACAAAAACACAGTTCTCTGGCTTTAGTATGCTCTTCAGGAACTATGTTTTGTTCTTTTGGGTGGGGCTTATAAGAGGAAAAACTATCTTCTTCAGCAACTAAAAGTCTAAAACGCGGAGGCTAGCATTGTATTGTTAATTAAAATTGTGCATTTCAAAGGTGTTCATTCATTTTGGTAGAAACATATTACCAAAACAGCATAAATGTAACATAAATCATTTTATTTTTGTGGGTTTTATGTTGTTTTAGTTTCACATTCAAATGATTCAATAAGAAATTCATTCAGATGTATTATGCCAGAATGTAAGAAAACATAAAAGAAGATGCAAAGTTCGTTATTCTTAATGTATAATGGATACAACACTAACGGATAAACTAGTTTTTAATTATATGATCGAGTTAGGTTTCACAATGCTATCTTAAATCCAAATACTGAGAATATACATGGTAGAACAAACATTGTAAATATCCTTGTATGTATATTATATGGTCAAATTTCACATTCTGGTTGTTTGTACTTTGTACCTTATTTTGTTTGTAATATATTCTTTCTTTTACAATTGAAGATTCGTGTTCGTAGGAGTCTGCAGGCAGAAGTTTGTTTGTCGGTGATCAATAATTTAAGATTCTGTTTCAGAAGAGTGCAAATACAATTGTCTCATTTAAAAAATGTGAAGTCGCTTCAGTTTTATAATGATAATTTCTTATTTTGTTAAATGCTTTTATTTGTGATGGGTGTAAATATGAATTTCTTGGTCAACATTTTCGCTCTTGAAATTCATGATTACTGTTGTGTTCAATACACAAATGCACTCTTATCAAATATCTGCAAAACTTAACCATAATGATAAATGAACCAAACAACATTTGCATTCTTCTGATAGAACCTAAGGCCGCATTTGGAAGGAGTATATATTTGTATGTATTTGTACAGATACAAATATGTGATTGCAAAATCTTGTATTTTGTATGTATTTGTACTGTATATATTTGTATTTGTACTCTTTTTAAAAGCACAAATACAAATATATAGAATACAAAACCTTATATTTTGTATGTATTTACACTATATATGTTTGTATTTATACTCTTCCCGAACTGATGGTAAGTTTTGCATGTATTTACACTATATATGTATTTACACTAATTAGAAACATTTGGGGCAGACAAGGGAGGGTAGCAGTTTAATTAATAAATAATGATTCGAAGATGATAATTTTACAAATGGATATTGCATTGAACAGAATGAAACAGTAAAAGTCATGGTTTTTAAAACCGAACCGGTCAGGGATCTGGTTGTCAGTTTGAACGGTCCGACCGTTTGACCCGAACGACTGGCCCGTTCTAACAAAAAAATTAAAAAATGGTCAAAACCGTTCAAATGGTTTGAGCAGTTAACCAGCTGGTTCAGCGGTTTGCTGACCAAAATCAACGGTTTTGGGGAAAAACCAGGAACCGGTCCGGTCTGACCATCCGATCTGATCCGGTTTTGAAAACCATGGTAAAAATAGTTGATCCCCTATATCTGGGACAAGGATTAGATGATGGTAAGGTCCCTTCTTAATATGGAACATCTATTCATTAGAGGGTGAGCTAGAAAAAAAAAAAAAAACTGAATTGAATTGAAAAACCAACTGAAACCGAAAAGAAAATCTGGTTAATCAAATTAGTCGGTTCAATATTTTTAAAAACCAAAGGTACTGGTTCGATTTCGGTTATTCAATATAGAAAACTGACAGTTAACCGAATCAACCGATATATATATATATTATATTTTCTATATATTATAAATTAATAAACACATACTATATATAAATATTTATATATATTTCTAGTTTTTTATTATATATTTATATATTTTTATAATATATATTATGAACTTCAAATTGGTTTCGACTACCAATTTTCCAAAGATCGGTAATACCATTTCGACTTAAAAAATAACACGACCGAAGCATCCCTATGAATTTTGTGTGGGCACATTACAAATTAATTATTTTAATAGTAATGATTAAATATATGAAGCAAGGTTATTAAAAAAAGACCCGATCTCATCATGAAAGAATAATGCCACTTGTCAACATATGAGAAAATGCTGGATTCACTCGTGCATTTTTTTCTATGTTTGGCATTGTTCTACCAGTAACTGATATATTGGAGTCGGGATCTACTCTCAACAAAATGCATTCCAACATACTTGCAACATGATTTGGCACAGCATGTCTCATATGGTTGGTCCTAGTCTTATGATGATCCTGATCTCATGGTGAGATACGTGGTGTTGCATCATATTGAAATGGGCATTAGTAATCTAACATTCATGGTTGGGTCTTAGTCTTATGGTGAGTCTCGATCTCATATAAGCATTTTGGACAAATACAAAATGTTCAGGATAAGGAAAATGATTAAAAATAAGAAACTGTTGAGTTCAAATCAGTCCCCCACAATACTGCTTCCCATAATGTTTTACAGTACATCTCCGCCATGTAGTGGGAATATCTCCCGATAATAATATCGGGAATGATGATGTCATCATTAAAAAATGTTCCCCATAGATGACAGGAATGTGCTGTGAGACATTATGGAGGACAGTATTATGGGGGGCGGATTGGGTCTCGAAACTGTTCTAGGGAAGGATACGACAGCAAGATAAAGATATTGAAAGAGAAATGCAAGTGAAAAGGGAAGAGGACAAAAATTATGATTTAATAATTGGGTTAAGTCGAGTGGTTTTCTTAGGCGGGGTTAGTTATTTAAAATATTTAACCTTTAGAAGAAAAAGTTTATGCAAGACATGTAAAACAACTCAAAACATTTCATTAAGGCTATATTTGGTTTGAAGGAAAAGGTAAGGAAACCCATACAAGATTTCTAAAGTTTTTCTTACATATCTTTCCCTTCCTTTTCCTATTTTTTCCTTTAAAGTAAACACAACTAAGGAGGGTTATTTCTCAAGTTAAACCTAAAACGCTTAATTTAAGGCTTTTTATATATATAAAAAGGGGCCTATTTCTGTCAAACAAGAATACCCGTAAAATATAGTTAAGTAGTTTTAAAACTATATGGTATATTAATTAATTGGGTCCACTATGATATAGAAAACTATATCGTATGGAAATCCCCTGTACATCAATTACCTAACCGGTAACTAATTATTTGTTTTTTCCGTCAGCTATTATATTAATTAGCCTGATATGGAATACGAAACTTCCGTCGATTACAATACAGTCACAATCGACCACGTCGACCAGATGGGAGAACGTATAATGTTCACGGTAAAAGGCCCATTAACACGAGTTCGGCAGTTCAACTGGACACAAATAACATTTCTCAAACACTCCCATCTCTTGGCCATGGGGCTTCTTCCATAGTCAAAGAAGTCCTGTCTACAACCATCAGACACGGCCTTGAGAATAGCATGAGGTCATGAATGAGCTGCGTGACCCAGCGTGAGATCTTCCGGTGACGTAGCATGACCAGTGCTTTTGGAGATGGTGACCCAGCATGGCCAGTGCTTTTGGCGATGGTGAACAGCATGGCCAGTGCTTCCCTCTGCTCCGGTTAACCACCGTTTCCCGAATAAACCCATCTGGATTATTTGGGGAGGGTACGAGCTCTATGTAAGGTTGATCGCCTTTGTATGTGTATGCGTCGCCGGCCCATCTGTAGATCCCGGACTTTAAGAAATTGGTGACCGCCGGATAAGACAGCAAGGAAGAAGTAATTCAACGCAAATTAATTAAAAACTTGATTAATCAATGAGCATAAGTATAGTAATTAAGGCCAAAAGTTTTTTCCTTATTTTTTTTTTAAATTTCTTTGGCCATAGAAACTTTATAAGCACTTGATAACATGATGGCCTGCACGTATAAACCACTAATTTTATTCCCTCAAGGTACTAATCCACCATTAATTAACCTAAACTAGAGAGAGAGCGAGAGCGAGCGAGCGAGCGAGCGAGCGAGAGAGAGAGAGTCTGTATGGAAACAGAGAGAGAGAGCATGAGACACGATCACTAACGTCTAATGAGGTCCCAAGATAAACAATGCTAAAGAAAAGGAATTGTAAGTATTGAACAATTCTGATGGCTTAATTCAAATCTCAACAACAATATCATCAAATGGGCCATTCTCATGCAAACAAGTTTGCTAGTTATCTAGAAACAAATGATACGTGCCGTGAATTCACAACTAATGTATAGAGTGAGATTGTGAGAAAACTCACCGAATAGTATGGAACGGCTGAAACGACGTTGATCGGCTCTGCTGAATCGGGAGATGGTAAAGCATAGAGCGCTGCCTGAAAGAGTTGTGTTGAACCGGTACCACCACGATGTAACGACCTTCTGGTTCAGTGTTGGCCACCAAATGATGCAAGCGTCTGATCTCTTCCGCTAATTCTGGCTCCAGAAACCAACACAAGTTTGTAATGTCCGAGAAGTAGCTTAGCGATTGCCAGACGGAGTTCACCACTATGCACTTGTCCCCCATCTTCTGCCAATATGGCTCTATCATTTTTGGATCACCACTGTTAACGAAAGTCAAATAAAAAATACTGTCAGGCGTCAGTCCGAGAATATGAAATAAATGTAGCCTGGAACAATCTACATATCAAAAACCCAACTTCAACTGTAATTGAAAATGATAGAAGCAAATAATAAATAGTCTTCGAATTGGAAACTTACTGGTCAAGGTTAATAACAGAGTCGGAGGGGAGCTTCTTGGTCATGCCGTTTTGTTTTGCTTGGAAAGCAACAGAAGAAGGGGAAGAGTGGCCGTTGATGCGCACCTCCTGCTCGGTACCAGGCATCTTTCTTCTATTCTTTGTTTAGTTACCGTTAGACGCTAAAACAAAAAACTCCTGAAAACTCGAACAAGCATTGAAGAGAGAGATCATATCCAGAAATCAGATCACTGTTTCTCGATCACATACGGCTGCTTATCTCTTGCTCCTGACCGTCTTTGATTGTCAGAGGCCTCCTGTACTAGCCGTCCGAAGTAGCCATTCTTCACCGTCGGAAGTGAGCTTTCCCAGACATCGTGCACCCCCATCCGCCGGAGAAGCTTCTGGGTAACCTTTCAGGGTGAAGACGTTAATGTCTTTGTTATCTTGAAATGAATTTCTTTTTTGAAATAACGATTTAAATGGTTGTTTTAGAAACCGGTTATCCTAATTCATTGAAACAGAGAAGTGGAATGTGATTGGTCCATGTCATCCGATATGATATGGAAATTTTTTCCATATCATAGATTTTCCCTAATTAATTAACTCTTTTCTTTATAACGACTTATCTTTGGGATGACAATGAATTATTATTATTATTATTATTATTATTATTATTATTATTATTATTATAACTTCTTTGCAGAATTAGGATATGCTGTTCACTCACCCCACCGTGTATAACGAGTTACATAACCGATCATGATTAAACAACATGCCAATGTTTCGTCGAGGATTGTCCTTCATCCCCGATCCCCAAGAAGGATAGGTTCTCCAAGGGGATCAGTAATTTTTTGATAAATAAATTTATTTAAAATAAATAAAAATTTTAAATTATAAATAATATTTTAAATATATTTTGATATATATATATATATATATAATATAAATAATATAATAATATATATTTAATATATATAATTAGGGCCAGGGCGAGGTGGGAACCTTAATCCCCGACCCCGATCAAGGATTCCTATTAATTCTCGTCCCCATCCTCACCCTGTCAAAACAATCCTCATTCCCGACCCGATGGGATCGGGGAAGTCGAGTCCCCATCGGAGATGGGAAAAATTGCCATCCCTATTTGTGCCAAGTAACTTGCAAACAAAATATATTTCAATACCCTATCAACATGATCTCACACCACATATCTCATGGAGGCTCCCAATTTTATGGTGGGTCCCAATGCCAATTAGAGTTAGTATAACACCCTCCCAACATGATATGATATCTAACATATCATACATGGAAAGTCCCAGTTTTATGATGGGTCCCAATCTCATGGTAAAATATGTGGTGTGAAATCATGTTGGAAGGGTGTTGAAACATATTTTGTTGATAGGAGATCCCAACTCTTCTCTCTCTCTAAAAAATCACTTAAAAACTTTTGAGAGAAATGGTAATTGATGACGGGCAAAACCGGCACATTGATCTTTGACGCCATGTGTCACCTCGGAAACCTCATGACCTACAAGCGAGACAGGTCGAGAATCATTCGCCCTCAATGCGGGCTCATGCGTCATCAAGGAGCCTCGGGACGTCGCCAACATCGGTTGAGGCGAACCGACCAAAGCCCCGGTTCCACCTCGAACACTTCAGTACATCATACGGTCTAAGCACCAGGTCGACACTCCAATCGCATACGTCCGACCTGCTACATCAGCAATGGGGATGCATTTCTAGACACTCAGCGCCTCCGAGATCATCGGAGGCATGTCGAAGACCTGACAGTAACGGCAAGAGTCTCCCCCGCTTCTTAGGGAAATGATGAGCAGCTCCTCTAGAGAATGCTCCCACGGGCCCCTAAGAACTCGGTTGTCAAGGTCCGTTATTTCTGAGAATCTTGATAGTGCCTTGATTACCCCTCGTCTCTGTAAAAGGAGAGACATTCAAAGAAAAAGAACTAGCTCACCTTATTCTTTTTGCTCAAAATCTTTTTACACTAACCTGACCGTCGGAATCTCCTCGCCTAGACTCACAACCCAGCACTAGCTCTCTGACACCTCTTTTTCTTGCACGCCTTTGAATTGGGTCCGTGCCATACTTCACTCTCACATTAGGATCCGAGCAGATCAAGAGTGAAGTAATAATACTTCACTCTCACAATAGATTGGTTAGTTGGTTTAGCTTAACTTGGTAGCTGTTCTATGAGCGAAATTTTTGCTTTGGCGCCAACAGCCCAGAAATGTTCTTGGGCATGACACGTCACAATTTAACTATAACACTTCCTATAATTTCATGAATTATTAAAATCTATCCTATAATTTGTATTTTATTAAAACATCTCCTATAATTTCTAATCAATATACTTAATTGATCTTTCATTAGATAAAAGTGAAAAATTATAGTTTTAACCTTAACATCCATTTAAATAATTTAATCAAAAGAAACTAAAAACAAAAATATGATTTTTGCCCCTAATAAAACACGAATAACCATTCAGTTTTTCTCTATGTTGTCAATTTTGTATTCTGTACAAAGAAGTGTTAGTGGTACTTTTGCAATAAACAACCATAGATCCATACCCTTGAATATTTTCCTCTTAATTTAGGGGTGTTTTGGAATAAACAACCATGGGTTCATGCCGTTGAACATTTTCCACTTAGCTTAGGTGATTATGTTACTATTTTAAGATGGCAAAACAAAAAGCTTAGGTGATCATGTTGCAAACTATAAGGGCCCTATTGTCATTGTTCCCAAATATACCATAAAGTTAAAATTTGTTAGGTGGGGTAAGTGAAGATTCCCCTTTAATAAAGTACAAATTATAGGGTAGTTTAAATAAATCTGTGAAACCATAGGGGATGTTCTAATAAATAATGCAAAAAAATATTGAATATAATTACTCTTTTATCCCACATCCATGATAATGGTTGTGTTTGGTATCATTACTATTATATTTGAAATGTTTGACTCCTGATCACCTACCCACAAGAATTCTGCCCTTGCCTACCCACAAAACACTACCTCCATGCATTGGAAACATCTCCCCGAGTATAATAATATGTAAGATGATGAGATGTTCCCCATGTGTGGCGGCAATGTTATGTGGGTAGGAAATCTGGACTCCAAATGTTTTGAGTTGGTCAATATAAATTGCCATACAATTGTTATTTGGGAGAATGACGGTTCAACCTAGGGTCAGAATTTTTAGCCTCAAAAACTGATGCCAATTCTCACAGGCAGACATTAGTGTATAGAATGGGGTTTTTGACATTTTAAATGTTTATAGTTCTGTAGTGGAATTTAGAAATCTGCATTGGGCCTGTCCCTACTTTTCCATTATTATTTGAGAGTATTTATAATTAAAGTAGATACTTTAAAGATGCTAGATGCTATGTACAAGGATGAAGTCTCATCATTTTAGTTAGTTTAAAATAATTCTCACATGTGATGTGACAATAAATATCTCTTACCAATTTGTATCGATAAACCCAAAACATTTCAAATAGAAATAGCAATGATACCAAAGACAACTAATGTACCATGCCTAGAAACATTGCCAACAGCCAAATCTTTTCCTTGGACAGGCTGTAGGATCAATCATTTTGCTCCCACAATATAGGGGTGCCAATTGGACTGGATCAGATTGGTGTCAATTGGACTGGATTTGGTCCAATCCGATCCAGTCCAATGTGAGTCCATTATAGATGGATCAAGTCCAATCCAATCCGTTGAATGTTTTGGACCGGTCCAGTTCAATGTCTAGACCGTCCAATCTGTTCAAGTTCATTTTGATTTAGATTGGCTTCAACCTAAACTCGATCCAATCCAATGTAATAAATATTTTGAATCGAATTAGTCCAATCTAATATGTCTTGATGGTCCGTCCAAATTGATTTTGGACTGGACGGGATCCAATCCAAAACCGGCCCATTGACATCCTTACCAACAAATAAACGACTTGGGCCAAAAGGGATCGCCATGTCAAACTGATTTTGTAGTGGGAAGTGGGAACTGGTTCCATCTAAGCATCCAGATCCACGTGACGGAGCTTTGTTAATGAGTAATGACATAAAAATTTCCCAGTCTTTGTATTATTATACAGGGTTTCGATTAGCCACTTCATGCCTCTTTGGCACTTTGTGTTGTTCTTCTCCTTCAATAAGTTTGATGGTTAAAAGTTTCAATATAAACTTCCTAAAAGAAATGGATTGGTTTGAACCTACAGATGCTTGAGTTCGGATGAATGGCTAATTGACTGGAATACATGAAAAGCTGATTGATTAGGGTAGGGTTTTGATTCTTTAATCGATTCGAATTCAGGACTGATCACGTCACCATGCCTCTCATTACTCTAAACCCCTTTTCCAATTTACTGCTTTTTTGATATTTTTATCTTTTTAATTTCACTAATTGCCCATTAAAATTTAAACCTATGAAAATAGGCAATCTTAGCTAAGTTCCAGCAGAAAGGCATGTATAAGGATCGAGACATAGATGAAAAACGGGAATAATTAGGATCATGATATATATATATATATATATATATATATATATATATATCAGCGAATAGTTTTCCTTTAATTTTGCCAAAATTCAAGTGATGATTACACTATCTACATCAAGCAAATCTCTTTCAATAATAAGCTTCCTTACGCATAGGTTTTCTAGTCTACTAACAGGGGTCACTGAGTTTCTTGGTCATTGGAGACTGGGGAAGAAGAGGAGCTTAAGTCTGAAGTTGCCGTTCATATGGAAAGGGTGGGAGAGAAAATAAACATTAAGGGTTCGTTTGGTTCATAGTCGGAATCGGAATCGAAATCCTTTGGAATTGGAATCAGAATGGTCTATTCCCATAGTCTGTTTGGTTCAGACAGGAATAAGAATGAGAATTAAAATCAGTAGGAATGGGATTTCATTCCTAAGGGAAGGGCGGGGAATGGCCATTCCCTCAAATGGGGGAATGCCATTCTAGCAGGAATAGGAATGGGATTCTGACTCCACCCAACCAAATAGTTAAAATCGGAATAGCCCATCCCAATTCCGATTCCAGATCCCTATTCCTATAAACCAAACGGACCCTAATTTCGTGATCTCTGTTAGTGATAACTTTTATGACAGAGGCTTGACGGGTGAAAACGATCCTAACTTCGAGAAATCATTTACCAAGTTCTATACCACTAAGAGTTTGCAAAAGCAATGGTACAGTGTTTTCGGAAACCATGATTATAGAGGTAATGTGAAGGCGCAATTGATCCCGGTAGATAGCAGATGGTTTTGCTTGAAATCTTATATTGTCAATGCAGAAATTGCGGAAATCTTCTTTGTGGACACAAATCCATTTGTGGGCATGCACTTGTATGACCCAAAGCACCATGTCATGTGGATAAGTGCGACCCAAATAGGAGAATGTCGTAAGGATGAGGACTCC